TGATTTATTCTGAAGCAATATTCTCATCAGTTTTCTGTCAGCTGTGACATATAAATCTGCGTGTTTTTTATAATTTATCCAAGGGCATTTTTTTGTGCAAATGATTTAGCATTTTCCCTCTAATCTCATTAATACTTTCATTTCAAATTCTTACATTTGATCTATACATTCAATTATAATAATGTGATTATCTATACGTTATCAAATTAAATCATTTACACTGAAAAATACAACTGCATTAAATAATGAGATTATTTTAAATATTTTTGAATATACAAGCAAGAAATGTTGGTGGAAATGATACTTTTCAACTAAATTAAAACGCCAGTAGGTGCCAGTAGTGAGCGTTTAATGAGTGAGTCATTGAGTCGTTCGTTGAAACGACGAGAGACGAATCTACTTCAGCATATGCTGATAACGGTATATAGCTAACTGTTTTAATTTATTCCCTTAATAATTCTATTGTAGCCCGTATATAATGAAAAAAAAAGTAGAAGAAACGTATTTCGTGTTAAACAGGTTGTTTTTGAAAGTCGGTGCTTGAAATAGGCTAAAATTGATTTTTATTGATGACTGCAGTGTTTATATTTTAATTACAGGCCTGTAATTAATTGTATTTAGGCTAATAGACCTGTTTTAAAAGACCTTTTAATTGAGGCATAAATAGCCTAATCTTTTGTTATCCTCGCAGCGCGTCAGTTAACGTATGCGATAACGTTAGGCCTAATATTGCGGGGCAAATGAATTGTAATTTTAATTTAATTATAAAAGTAACTTATAGGCTAATAACAATAGGCCTAATAAAAATAAGAATGTAACAGGCCTACATTAATTGGAAATGCCAAATCCTCTTAATATTGCCAATAATTGATGTTTTTGACAATATCTCTGGCTATCGTCGACACAAGATCATGTCTTTCGACGCAACCCAGGGCCTTTCGTTTCGACAGCACGTTGCCTGTTACGTCGTTTGGGCTGCCTTGTTGAGTGCAGTGGCACTGAGAACATTATATTTCACACACTTTAAGCTCTTTTATTTTCCAAATGTAATAGTCCAACGAATCGTTCGGTTTGTAATGCGTACCGAACCGAAAGCCTCGTACCGAATGGTTCAATACGAATACGTGTATCGTTACACCCCTAGTAGGATGCGTAATGTAGCTAGAAATTTGGCTTTATTAAAAAAACATTTAAAATGAAATGCAAACGATGTATTTTTGTAATGAACAACATGCTTTAGATTCTAAATTTACATTTACATTTAGTCATTTAGCGGACGCTTTTATCCAAAGCGACTTACAAATGAGGACAATGGAAGCAATCAAAATCAACAAAAGAGCAATGATATGCAAGTGCTATAACAAGCCTCAGTTAGCCTAACGCATTAAAAATTTACATTTAAATTAAATTGATTTATATTTTTTGTAGGACATAAGCCCATCCTGAGAACAAAGAAGAACTATTTTAAAGTAGTTTGGCATAAATCTTTTTTTAAGGTTGATTAATAAGAATTATTGAAAGAAAATATTATTAATACTTGAAGCCATAGTGCAGGGAGCCATTGTTGTTTTATCATGTGAGGAGAAGAACATAAAACCCCATAAACTCACGACTGTGATGCAAGATTTACTTGGACACCATATTCACAAATAATTACAAAGAAACAACAAATAAAATATTGAATTAAACGTGACATTTTTAAGTAGAAAGACTGAAATGTTTCTTTCTTGTCTTATTTACAGCTTCAAAAAAAATACTTTTTTAGATTGAAATGCAGTAAGTATGGAAGCCCGTTCCCCCCACTTTGAGAAAAAATACAATTCTGTAAGTCATAATAATGAGACTCTTTCTTGTAATTATGCCTTAGTATCTCACAATAATGAGAAACTTTCTCATAATTATGAGTTAATATATTATAATATTCAGGGGGGAAAATCTCATACATATCGAGAAACTTTCTCGAAATAATGACTTATTTTCTCAAAATAATGACTTATTTCCTCATAATGAGAAAGTTTCTCGAAATAATGCTCGTAATAATGACTTAACATCTCGTAATAACTCGAAATAATGACTTATTTTCTCGAAATAATGACTTAATCCACGCATGCGCAACACAAGAGTGATGGCAGCTAGTGACATCTGTTGGTCAAAGTCATGCAGGAACACCGCAAATATTTGTTCTGTAATCTAAAGCAGTGTTTCCCAACCGGGGTGCCGTCTGTTGAGAGCAGGGGTGCCGTGTAAAAAATGCTTTTTTAATATTCTTAAATTGCTAAAATGTTCAAAAAAGCATCTATTATATAATATCCATTTCTGATGTCGCCAATAATTAGAGATGCACCGAAAATTAGTTAACCGCTCAGGTTTCACTTTCACGTGGTGCGACGCTCTGCTTATTATCCCGCTCTATGCGTGTGCGCTCCGCTCAGTCGCTCCACTCGTATACCGTTCATGCTCATCGGAACAGCAAAGTCCACTCAAAAATTGAGCCGACAGGAAACATCGATGTAGTACAGTATTGTTTCTGTCTGCAATAGCCCTACTGTGCTGTAACATGGTGTGGTATATGAAAAAAAAAAGTTAAATATCTTAACCCTATTGTTAGACCTACCTGAAAAACTAAAAAGCAATTTATTTAATTCGAAGGCCTGTCGTTATTTTTTATTTGTGCTATCATTATTAATTTCTTTATTTCTTATTTTATTACTGACTGCTTACTTGTCATTTTTTATTCAATTCAAAGTTTGAAATCAAGCTATCTCTTGCTACTGCACCAAAATTACCCCACTGTAAAATAAAAAAAAACACTTGAGTGAGCAAAAATTTGTGAGATAGCTAGTTATAATGGTAATTAAATAATGTTTACATATGTATAAAAGCCTACATTAAAATCTGTCATATAAATTGGTCTTTTCATTAGAAATTAGCCTACTGATTGCCACCATTGATGGACAAATTTTTTTATATAATATTAAAAATATCTGTATGACATTATATTCTGCAGTTCTTCCCTGTTGTACCGAATATCTACACTGTTCAAATTATCATATCGAAGTTAGAAATTCAAATATTGTGACAAAATAAATTTTGTAGGGTGCCACAAGTTCGTTAAAATTTCCAAATGGTGCCGCGACTAAAAAAAGGTTGGGAAACACTGATCTAAAGTGTATAATATCATGAAATAACGATTTCAGATAAATTATATGTATGTAGTGTTTCGTTAATTTGCAGCACCTACCAACAAGTTACAAGTTTCAAACAGATATAGAGGAATATATTCCAACAAAAATCACACGCATTTTATGAAGAAATTAAAGCCATTACACATGTAAACTTAATGAATAGATGTTCATTTCGATGATTTGTTAGTTTTATTACCTGTCACTTTCATGCATCGCATGCATAGGCTCACAATGTTTATACAGTAGCCCAATCTCATCTTGCTAGCACAAAGCGTAGTTGTTGGTTACCACGGCAACCGCCTGGTCTTTGATCAGCATCCCGCTTCTTGCAGGACATGTGCAAAAAATGCTTAATGTGGCTTACAAAGGTTTTTTAAACCAAAATAAATTGGTTGCATTTCTGACAATTGGCTCCAACTAGATTTTAAAATGTTCCACCATTATTTGTCACTGACCAACATAACATTATATGTATTAAATATAGTTATGCATATTTTTGTAAGCAAACCTGACTGTCATGTGAACTTGTGATTTATTAGCATGAAATTGAAGAAATGCGAGCGGAGATGGATGAAATGAGGGACACGTTCTACGAGGAAGACGCCTGTCAG